GCTGTACTGTACAATCCAAGCATGAAAAAAAAATGCATCGCTGCATCAATTCTGGAACTTTGGTCTGACCAGAGACCGAATTATGTGTAACAATGATCGGTTGTTATACTTCTGCGATGGCATTTGTTTATGTGTACATGTACTTTCCCTTCTAATCAACAGAATAATGTGAGCTTGTCTCTAATCAGAAACATAAAAAGCTTGCATTCATTTTCACTGACTGACTTACATTGGTGACAACCAGTTAAAAAAAAATACCCCCCTTTTTTTTTTTTTTTAACAAATAATAGCGTATAAGTGTCAAGGGAGCCAAAAAGAAAATATACATGTACAAAGAAAACAATCAAGGTTGTGCATTAAGTTTCTGAAATCTTCACTGTTAGATCATTTAAAACAATTGTTTGCTGATCATTTTTGTTTTGTTTTAATATTTGTTATGGCTTTCCATTATAGCAGGCCTGCTGTTTTAGACTGATTCTCAATCCTTCTGTTATCATGCAGCCATTATCAATATAGTGACTGGATCAATGTTGGTTTGCTAGTGCTTGATCACTTTCATTCATCCATAAGTAAATACTGTTTGTTTTCATAATATTGTTTTTGTAAATGTAAAGAGTTTGTAAAATAAAGCCTATGGCTAAATTTTGGGTTTTTTTTATGACTATTGTCAAATCTGAGTGAACAATAAATGTGTTTGTATACAACGCACACATATATGCCTGTACAATGCATAATAGGCTTTTATTAGGAACTGCCAGTGACCACTGCATAGCAGCATAGTGTCAGATACCGCGTGCACAGTTACAGCAGATGCTAGGCCTGTGGGCTGGCAGGTGATGTCAGCATACATGTTGTGCCTTTCAAGTTAAGTCGACTGAGTCAATCCTACATTTACTAGCTCCTGAAACACCCAACGTGATGGTTTCAGAGTGGTTTGGTGAGATGACAGGAAAATACATACATGGAAGAATGTTGACCAATCGGTTCTTAAACTTGTTGGCTGGTAGATTTGCACTCACAAACTTCGATGGCAGAGCCTTCTGATTGGCCAGACGCTGTCATGTTCAATGAAAGACAACATAAAAAAACATCAACACTCAAAAGCTTGATATATCCTTTATTACAGCTTGTAAAAATGTAAGGGCAAAAATTAAGTTACATGTATATAATACCTTGCCGAGTCAAATTTAGGAATCTGGTACAAAGTGTGTGCGTGTGTGTTCCTGTATTGTATTACGCTCGAGGACAGACAACAAAAGGAGCACAAAGGGGCCATTCATCCGACGGTGCCTATTGTCCTCGAACGCAGGTTTGTGCACTAAGTCTATGGGAAAGGTTTAGATCAGGGAACAAAGGAAACACAAGCCAATCCTCGGAAGCATAGCAAAAAACGACTGTGTGTGTGTGTGTGGGGGGGGGGGGGGGGGGGAGGGGGGGGTGTTCAATTGTTTTACGCTAGGGGGCACTATTTGTGGACAAAGTTTACATAATAACACCTTTAAATTGTAATATTGGCCAAGTATCCTTTATAAATATTTCTTTCCTTTCTTGCTTTTGTCTTTATGTGAATGAGGTTGTTTTCATTTTTTTAATTAAACCAAATGCCCATTATTTCATGGGGATGTCGTAACTTCCTTGCTGGTCAGGTACGAATAATTGCTTTTTTTCGTCCAATTTTAGTCTGATTAGTCTGGGTGGCATGGGTGGCTTGTGCGTAAAGCGCTCGGCTCTCACCAAGGTGACCCCGGTTCAAATCCCGGCCGTGGGTCACGTGTGAGTAGAGTTTGTGCATTGGTTCTCTCCTGTGATACGAGGGTTTTTCTCCGGGCCCTCTGGTTTCCTCCCTCCGGAAAAATCAAACACTTTTGATCTCAGGCTGTGCTCCGTGGTCATATATGGGTCGATGTGGCCGGCAGCATAGGCGCCTTTAGTTGCCAGCGGCCCGATCACATTGTAGCTGCGTCCTTCGCAATTCAGCATCCCAGCTGCTAGTAAGGATGATTAGCCTCCCAAATTGCTATTATTATTATAATTATACCTGTAATGGTACCATTAAGGAGACACGTTATGGTAATTTCTTTGCATGATGGGAGACATCGGTCATCAGAGAGACATTTTCATGTCTCCCTAATGTCACAGCCCCCCCTTTAGAGGCAACATTTTACTGTAGCAATTAGATTATATTTGTTGCTCGTTGTCTGATTAGTAAGATCGAGTACGATCTGAGTCCGCGATTTAATTTTCGAATCGATAAAATTTTTAATTTTCAATTTTAAACTTGGCGGCAAACAATTTTCTAGAAAGTCTCATTCAGTTGAGTTTAACCCCTCTATAGACTTTGCACATGTTTTATTCAGCCTGGCATTTTTGACCTACAAGTATCACAAACCTGTATTCTCATGAAACTGAACCTATGTAAAGACCCCACAGTGCACTTGTGTCCCAAAGAGTGACGTCATCTGAAATGTGCATATTTTAAATACCTATATCTAGAGAACTCAAAGTTTGATTGGATTGAAACTTGGTAAGTATTGGTAAAAATTGAGGTGACGTCATGATGACGTCATTGTGTGATTTTTTTATGAATTTTTGAACTTTAAAGCCGTATCTCAAGAACTGAACAATTTCAAAACTCTTTTTGTAATTCTGCCAGGTCATACATATTTGCACAAAAATGTGCCAAATGTTTGACATCATCATGACGTCATAAGAAATCAAATTATAAATTTTAAAGATAAATTCCCCTTTTTTTGGCAGATAAATGTTACAATTTTGAGAAATTTGTCTGGCGCATGACGTCGTCAATACAGATAGTTTCTGAAATATATATACAGATATTTTTTACATGCTGAAAAAACCTGTGTTCTGTTCATTGAACAGACATAGCTCTAGTTAACTACATGTATGTTTTCGTAACCTTCATTCAAGCTGACATTACAGCCAATAATTATTTTAAATGTCTGTTTTGCAGGATTACTGTAATTCCAACCAATTCCTCACAAAAAATGGCTTATTTAGCATGGCAACAAGGAATTTCCAACTATTACTCTGACAATGCCAAATATCACTCATGTCTACAAGGAAAACATTTTAATACAAAACGTGCTCCCTTTTAGCAAGTGGAAAAGCAACCTGTTTAACTCTTAGTTATCAAGATATACTCACCTTGAACTCACTCTCCATTCCTGTAATGGTTTCTCCTGGCTCAGTTTGTGTCAGTTTCTGAATGTGGGAATAAAGATTCCTTGCTGGTACTTCAGTGTTTCCACTCAGCACTGCCTCTAATAAAGCCTCATGGATGAAGATATACTGCTCCTCAGTCTGTACCATGTAGTTACGCTGTGCGCGGAGACAGGTGACATGACCATAGATATCCACCGTCTTCTCATGCTTGATCCTCTCCAACATAGAGTCGATTACAATGAAGGCTCCAGTGCGACCCACTCCGGCACTGTAAGAAGATACATGCAAAAACAAATACAAAAAAAATAAACCCAAAAACTAAAACTTGTTGCCAAAAAATCCAAATATATTTTTACAAACACAAACGATGGTTCAATTGTGATGGCAAGCAATTTTCCCACAGAGAATGCTTCTCCTAGGTTACTTACAGAAAAGCCAGCAAAGGAGAGTCATGTACCTAGGATTACACATTAAAACAAAGTTTTACTCCAGTCTGTCTTTTGGGCTATTAAATTAGTAGTGTCAAGCAGCGAAACATTCAAAAGTACCACCTAACACTGTAAACGTGAGGCAATACTTGCATCTACCTCCCCAACCACACCAGCTCTGTGCAGTTTCATTGATTCATATTGATTCATAAAGGATTAAATGAAGTGAAATACAGGTGCTAATCTTGAAATGTTCTTGTTAAAAGACACTGCCTGAATCAGCAACTAGTGGCTATGTCTGAATTACTTGGCTTGCGTCAGCAATAACACACGCATCAATGCGAGGTGGATTCTGCTGCCTATAGGACAGTCCTCAATTTGAATGCAGCAAGTGCTACATGTGTTTTGCCTACCTGCAATGGACCACAATTGGCCCAGCATCAGGAGGGTTACAGGCTTTGATGCGACTAACAAATGCCAGAACCTGTGTAGCATGCTCAGGAACACCATGATCAGGCCAGGCTGTGAACTGAAACTGACGAACCTCCCGTTTCTCTGCTGGTTTCTGATACCCAATAATCATAATGATAGAATGAATGTGGAACACATCAGTGAAGAAGAACAGGGACTGAAAATCAAACAAGTTCTATACTGTGCAAACAATGAAATGCAAATATATTTTGCTACCTTGATATTAATATTAAAAACAAAAATTACTGTATCTTTTGAGCTTTTAAGTCTTTTGAGTGAAGGGGGGTTTTGGGGGACAGGGGGGGGGGGGGGGGGGGGGGGGGGGGGGGGTGGGGGGGGGGGGGGGGGGGGTGTGTGTCACGGTGTAGGTCCTGGGTGATCGGAAGCACTCTACAACTAGGTTTATAATATTTTGAACAGTAATATCAGTTCAGGTACCAAACCATTTTGACACGAGTACCTAACCATTTTGGCAAGGAGGTGAGTGGTTAAAAAATAGCCATGCAATATATTCAAAGTAAATTTGAGGAGTTGGAATACATCTGTTTTCTTGTGTTTGCAGAAAACTGAGTTAAACAACAATCCTGTGCAATAACAAGTAGAAGCTTAAATCCCCAAACTTGAGTACTTCTCACCTTAATATTGATCAGAGAAAAGTTGCGAACTGAGTAAGTAGCCAAGTCCGTCATATCATGCAAGGTGACCTGAATATCTCCATATGTCTCATGTCCCTTGCTAGGCCAGTACTGATCACACTTGACACGGTTTCTCTCTTCCAACTTGGTCATCATCACAAGTGTGCATGTACGCTGCTCCCACACCTCCAAGATAAAGCAATACAAATCCAATTGCTTTAAATAAGTTTAGTACTACTACTACTAGTCGGCTGCGCAGCAGCCGGTCACAATGTTTTTCCAAATGGCTTGATTTTGGGCGGCCTCACGGATCTCCTTAGGTGTAACAGCTACATCTTTAAAGAGTAGTCTGGCAAATAAGTTTAATCCAACCCTTTTTATTCCTTGAAGAAGGGTCAGTTGGTCAGGAAAAAAAAAACCACACAAATTCCAATAAATACAAGTCAGATGATAAATGAGTTCTGTATCCTTTATCAAGAACCAAATATAGCAAAAATATACATTTTGATCATATTTTGACTGCACTTACCATTCTCCAAAAGTCACCAAGTGTTTCTGGTAATGGTCCTTGTGTAGCAATATAAGCATTCTGCTTACGGTAACCATCACAATAGTTAGCATTGAGATAGTCACTGCCTGGCAGACCATCAACACGTGACAAGATGACCCGGGAGTGGTCATATGCAATCACATTTGCATAGCGATTCTTGGGCTTGTTTACTTCTAGATTAGAATGGTCCCATGTGAACTGCTGACCTGGTTCAATGGACTGAAACAAACAATTCATTATTAGAACAAAGGCCTCCATTGGTCTACAATAGTACATATGAAACTACTCACCAACAGAAATAACAACAGTAGTAACCTTACCCACAAAGATATGACATCAAGGCTGCTGTTACAAGTATTTTTTTCAGGGGGTTTTGTGAGAAGTTTAGCAACTACTGTGTGCTAAAAGTTTTTTAACAAATGTATTCAGGGAAAATACATTACATTTGTTAAAAAGTCTCCCCAAAACCTGGAAAACTGCTAAAAGCATCGCCATCCCAAACCTGGGAAAGACCCAAAACTGGCTTCCAGCTACCATCCGATCTCCCTTCTCTCAATGTGCTACAAACTGTTAGAGCGGATCATCCTCCACCAGATCCAGCCAACTGTTGAGGATGTACTGCACATCGAGCAAGCGGGATTCCGTTCTGGCAGAAGTACTCAAGATCAAGTTTTTGCCCTCACTACCTACATCGAAAATGGATACCAACCACGCTTAAAGACTGGCGCTGTCTTCCTTGATCTCACTGCTGCATACGATACTGTGTGGCACAAAGGTCTGACCTCGGCTCCACCATCAACAATGACATAGCCAAGATCAGCGAATACTAAAACACTGGCGACTTCAGCCCAGCCAAAACAGTATCTAGTGTTTTCCACTTGCACAACGCCAGCAGTGACCAAGAGCTAGACATTTTCCTCAACGGCAATCATCTGAGCCACATCTCTAGAACCACTTATCTTGGCGTCACCTTGGACCGAACACTCACCTTCAAATCTCACCTCCAGAAAGTGGCTGCCAAAATTCGGACCAGAAACAACCTAATCCACATGCTCGCCGGTACAACCTGGGGAGCAAATGCAAAGACACTCCGCTCATCAGCACTAGCTCTCTGCTACTCAGTGGCTGAGTACTGCACTCCAGTCTGGAGGAACTCTGCCCACACCAGCCTTGTCGACGTCCAACTGAACAATACCATGAGGACCATCACTGGTGCTGTTCGTTGCACAAGGACTGACGGGTTCCCAGTGCTAAGCAACATTGCCCCTCCAGACATCCGAAGAGAGGTTGCTACATCAAGGCTGGTCAGCAAGATCAGATCCAACCCTGAGCTCCCTCTCCTCAGTGTCCTGGACTTCCACCCAAGGCCTAGACTCAAGTCTAGAAAGCCAGTATGGTTCAATGTCCCGGACAGCACAGTGACTGCAGAAGACCCATGGCGCATCCGATGGCGAGACCACACTGACGTCCTGAACAAGTTCCTGGTCACCGACCCCACCATCCAGCTGCGGGAGATAGACATTCCCCGCGGTCAATGGTGTCTCCTCAACCGGTTCCGAACTGACGCAGGGCCATGCCGCAGCAGCCTATATAAGTGGGTTACATCTCATCTCCGCTTTAAGACTGTGGCGAACCCCAGACGATGCGCCATATGATCAATGACTGCCCACTATCTTACTGGTGGCATCGCAGCCCTTCACTTGGCCGAGGACCCAGCGACTGGCTTACGGACAATACAACAAGATCGCCATAGCATACGACATCATCATCATCAGGGAAAATAATTCATTGGAAATCTGGCAAAATTTGGAAATCTGGGTTGTTTTAAAAGACAGTGTAAAAAGGGTACTGAACAAGTGAAGAGTTTATATCCAAAACGCGATACCTGTATATCCATTTGGAAAAAACTTTAAAGAATGAAAACATAACAGGTGTTTATAAACCACAGCTTTTAAAAAAAAATATTATTCTTAAATTTTAACTATAGTTATAACAGCCATCGAAACTGACTTTGAGCAGCCAGGAGAAGGCGGGATTCTAAAATGTAACAAACTTACATTTATCATGTTTTTTGTCAAGTTATCAGTCCAAACCTCAGAAACTGTTTTCGAATCCAAAATCATATTAGTATCATTTTATATAGGGGACAACTGAAAAGACATCATAAATATTGTATTTTGCATTATTTGTTTACATGCTGAAACTGAATAGGTAATACCACTTAACATCTCACCTCATATTCCTGGGAGAAGAGGAGGTTTTCATTGCTCTTGAGATGCTCAATGTGGTCACTCAATTCCATAACAGGAATGGGAGGATGCGACATCATAGCTATAGTAACAAATAAATGACATGCCAAATAAGTAACAGCCAAGCCTCCTATCCATACCTGAGCATGATGTATAATGTATTATAATTATCTTATGCATGCTTCCATCAAATTATCACTGCCAAAATTTCCCTTGCATTCTTAATGATTACATGTAAAGAATCCAATATTGAACCTACCAGGTGTTTGGTAGTTCATTCTTCTCATCTCTACTGGGTCAGATGGGTTTGTCGACTTGACTTCCTTACGCTTCGGTCTACGCTCAGTGGGTCCACTTCTCCTGCAATGGGATAACAAAACAGCTTGGAATTGGTCTCAAATTCAAGTTCCATACAAAAAGTTTAACTCTAATGAAACACTTACAGCAAGATAAAATTAAGATGCATAAACAAACCTCTTGTTCCTAAGGAAGATTATAATAATGACGATGATGACCAGGAGAATGATGACACCAATGACTGCTCCGATGATGGCTGGCATTGAACTGCTGTCACTAGGTTCTTTGCTAGGGTTGGAGCGGTTTGGTTCTGGTGTGCCATTATTACCACCAGGTGCAGTACTGATTCTTTTCTTAACTTGTACTGGATGGCTATAATCACTAGAAGCAACTAACAACTCCTGCAAAGAATAGAATAACAGCTGTTTTAAAGACTGGAATGTTGGTTGTTGACTGTAATTGTGTTGAAAATTGTTATCCATTGGTAAAACAAAGTTAAACATAAAAGCAAACATCTAAAAATTGTTTAAAACTTTTTACATCTCAAAATTAATGCATTCTTAATCAATGGAGTTTTTAAACGACCTTCATCTTGCACTCCAGCCATGAAATGATTTTGACAATTTAACATTCCAACATTCATTGGTTATTAAAAAAGAAAACATACACAACACATTTTATTATGGACTGTTCTCACTAATCAAGCTATTCCTCACTGTTACATTGGTAAGTACTGTCATTCATCCCTCTCAGACAATTTGGGCTCAACTAATTTGAATAAATCTTATTTAAGGCTCATATGCAGTAGATCATTGCTTGTATTTCTGAAAGAGCAATGGTAAATTACAGCACCGTTGATTTGACATCAAATTAACATGTGGATATAATGACTTGGGCATGCAACCCCCAAAAAACGATAATAAATAAGAAAACAATTTATTTAGGTTACTCAATTGGCTGGAGCAAAGCACTTGTACAGTATGCCTGAGGCTGCTAGCTAAATACCCACTTTAGTTAGTTTTCTGTTCAACAAACAAACAGAACCTTTCTAATGGCAAAACAATGCCCATATCAACAACAGATGGTAATTTGTAATTCAACTATTACTTTTCAAGCAATTTGCTAATTTGATATGAATAATATACCTCATCTTCAGATAAAACTCTAGCTTTTATGAAGAATGTGTAGTAACGGTTTTCCTCAAGTGGCCTATTATGAAACCCATTGATGTAGCGCTCATCTCCAATGGTAAAGGGCACAGTCAGCTCACTTGCAAGGAGATAAGCAGTAATGTATGGAAGGGAATTACTGGTGGCCCGACGCTTGCGCAATGATGTATCTCGCTGGTTTCTATGGCCAGAGGAAGGCAACAACTCATCCATAGAGTAATCGCTAGGAGAGCCTGTTGGAAGGCTGGGCCCATCAAGAGGAACCACCACAATCAAAACGTTACTGAGAAAAAAAAACAAATACACCAAAAATTAAGTACATGGTCATGCTAAAGAGCATCAGCAGAAAAGGCCCCATAAACGTCTTAAAAGGGAAAACTCATTCTAGTTTTTGCTAACAAAACTGAAATGGATTAGGTATCTGATGACATCAAATTTTCATTAACTTTTTTTGTTTGTTAGTTTTTAGTGCAAATGCTAGAACAAAATCAACCACAAATTTTAATTCACAAAGGTGGGGAATTCCACCCCCCCCCCCCAAGATCTCGACCATCGAGTGATGAAAAATTTTGAAACTCAGTACACGAATAGAGCAACTCATCATGAACATACCCAAGAAATTTCATGACTATAGGTCAAAGGCTTGAGGCTAAAAAGTCATAACAGCTCGGGTTGCCCCCCCCAGCCCTTTTAGGGTTAAAGGAAATATACAACATTTGCTTTTGCTGTAATTTTCAGAAATGGATGGATTTGGGGGATTAATATTTTATAGCAAATATTGTTACATTGACTTGTTTGAAGTTTTGTGTTCGTAGATGCTGGAGAAGCCAAGAAAAACAATGATGTTCTTGTAGTCTGGTTCCCTGACCCCATTAAATTGAAATGGAGCAATTTATTGACGTCAGGGAATGATAAGGTCAGGGAACCAGTCTAGAAGGCTTGTACCCATTGATAGATGTGTAATCGATTGCACACAAAATTCAGACTAACTAAACATGGTAAATTGGGGGCACTATTTGGAAAAAGCCAGCGTTTTCCGACCAGCGTTGGAAATTGATACAAAAACACCACTTTTCTTGAAAAAGTCAGCACACCAGGTGCCATGATGTTACAGGATGCTTTAGACTGTCACTTACTAAATGTTGTATATTCCCTTTAAGTGATAAAACCAATGTCCTAAAACATGCACGTATAAAAGTGCATATTTTAGAATTGACTTTGTCGAGAGGGCTACATTGAAGAGCGTTTCTTACCACAACTCATCCAAACACAAACATGAGAAGAAAACTTTGGAAGAAAAGAAATCCTTTGAGAGAGAAAACATGTTGGCAAAATTCCATTTACAAATATGATAATAAAATATTCCGATATTTATTATTCTTTATCAGACATTAACACTCACTCTATTTGGCCATTCCTTGAATCTAGCGGTGGAATTGTGATTGTCAGTGTCGTGGCTGTGGTTAATGCCATATCCACTTCTGGAATGGGCACATGATTGGGGGCTGCAAATATAATAAAGTACAAGACATGTAAAAAATATGTCATTTCAATGCGAACATCTTTTCAATGCAATGTACATCAAACCTGCCAGTAGTAAAACCTTCTTCAAAATCAATGATATTGATGATATTAATTTAATTAGTTTGTGTGTGTGTGAACCTTTTAGTCAGGAGAGCCCCTCGACAGAGACTTTGTCTCTTTTGGGCGATCCTTCGGGAGCTGTTAGGTTCTTTTGTTTTCTGTTGTTGTCCTTTAATTTGTTTGTCTTGGTTTTTACTGTGTATATTTTAACTGACTGATAAATAAAGTAAATGTAAATGTCAATATCCTGTGGCCCCTATTTCACGGCTCTAAACTGCAGAATTGTGTGCATACAGTCACCAATTTTGTGCTCATAGCTCTAGCAAAACAAATCTGAGCTAACCTCGCATCACAGAATCCTAAGGGGATATACAAATGTGCATAAGCCAAAATTCCTTGTTTAATACCGCGGTCAATACTAACCGTTCCCACAGAATGTTCTGCTATGGTAAGTGGGAATGTTTTTTCCACCAAGCAGAGCCATGAAATTGGTGCCTGGTCAGTTGTGACCTGTTTTGACAAGACTTTGTCATTCGGTATCTACATATGTAAGTTATAGTCTTCCAATTTGTTTTCTCTCTTTTACAAACATTCTTTCAGATCAATTAACTTCCATTGTTGTAATGTAATTCAACAGATTTGGATTCAAGTCTTCTAACGTCAATCACAAGTCATCAAGTCTTCGCACATGTCAATATCAATTCAAATGAACTGTAAAAAAAAAAACAATCTTTGTCATTCTTCAGCAGCCTCTCTACCTTTAATTTATGATCTTACTTGTGATTGGACCTGTGATGGTCTCAAGTCGTAATGGTCTTGTCATGATATCTCCATATTTTGATCGTAACTTATAATTAGAAACCCAAATAGACACTTATAATCTGCTTTTCCTCCAGAGCAAAGTGCCTTTTTTCTCCTATTTGATTGTGGTATTGACATATTGAGGCATTAATATAAAATTGAAAGACAAAAACACCTTAGCACCATTTAAATTATATATATGAAATTGAGAAAGTACCTCATACGGCCCCAATAAACCAAACCCAAGCCTGGCTTTGTAGCAATTCAATGGATTCTGGTCCAACCAGCCTAGACTAAAATGCACAGGGGTCTTAATGCACAAATTTTGTCAAAGTACAAAGTATGTGCCACTGGTTTGGAGGTTAAAGGAAGCTTCTTACCATAATGCAACAAGTACTAAGGTGAGACACAAAATAACTCTCATAAAATTTCATTGAAGGGCAAAATCAAATATTAACAAATTTTGCATTTCCCTGATACAAAAAAAACATCATTTAAGAGATTGGTAGTGGTACCATCAAGGCAACCAGCCCCAGAAAACTTGGTGGTCCAAGAATTAAGATATCTGCATTAGAAAGCAGCAGATCATGCATTACAGTCCCACCTTAGCAAGCTTCTGATCTCCACGGAAAAAGTGTGGATATCGGATTGACTATTTGAATTGAAGACACCATCTGCCATACATGCATTATATTACTACTCCCATGACAATGCAAGTGTAAGCAAACTGGTCATAACTTCATTGGAATGTTACTTGTTTACTGAATTGATATTTTAGCTTGTATATGCAGGAAAGGCCTTAGTTGTTGTTCAAATTTATTTGCCTCGTCTTCTATCCGAAATATGCGTTTTGGTCATTGCAAGTGTACATGTACATACATTATGTGACAAGGCATGATTACCCTGGTACATACCATTAGAAAATGTGGAAACACTAGTCTGATTGTTATTAAATAAACAGGGAGCAATGGCCAATGTGCAATCCAGACGGTTTTAATTGGAACTTCTTAATTTTCCTCCTTTTTTGGTTATGGACAAGCAAGATGAAGTATGTATTAGCTTTGCTTATAGACACCTTAAAGTAATCCTTTAAGTGTTTCCATTATGTATAATGCTTTCACTAAACCAAGCACCAAAAATATACCAAATATCAAATTATCTAGATGAAACAAAACATACCAGCCCGCCTCGTATGTACCAAGACAGTGGCAGGGGGACTACTTCCAGTCTCAGTAACAGCTGTGATGTTGAATTGGTACTCCATGTTTGGTTTCAAAGCAGATATATGGAAAGTCCTGTGTTCATTAGTCAGAGTAACGCTTTGGCCTTCATCAACGTGATCTGGGTGCTCCTTCTGTCCCTGGGGGCTTGTGGCATACACAATCTGTAAGTTTATAGCACAACATAAAATGTGAAATGACTGTTTGCAAGTGTTGCAAATACTAAATCTCTTCAAAGCAACCATCTGTTCAAACTCTCGATTGAAATATTTTTAAAAAAGTGCTTGGAACAGAGGGAAAAATAACAGAGACAACATGGAACATTAGAAATGTTAAAAATTATAATACTTGCTGCCACAAACAAGCAAAAAGGCCGTCTTTAAATACCTAATTCATCATTATTTCAAAATAGTTTGGTCATGAAATCAATCATTCATAATAAACCCTTCTGCGGTTTTTAATATTGTTCTTACTTTGGCATTTTGGGGTTACTGATACTCAAGGAAACATAAATGAGATGAATAGCTTTGATTACTTTTGTAACCTTTTGCTGAGATTTTCAAAACTATTGATGTGGTCTTTATCATTCAGAGTTCAATGCACATCAGTACTTTCAATACACAGCCGTTGTACCGGCAAGGAACTATTGTCACCGTAATAGGGTTTTGTGACAATAATTAATTTGTTAGTTATTGAAGGCTAAACATCTCACTGAAAGCTTGTTACTTATGTTATGCCACAAAAAGCAGTCTTTTAATTTAAAACACTTGTAGGATGCCTTGCCCCAAAGGCAGAATATGTATACCTTCATGAACTACGTATGACACAAGATTCTCTTAAATGAAGGATTTGTCCATCATGTAACTCACTCTGTATCCTGTGGTGGAACCATCTGTGCTAGATGGCGTATCCCAAACAAGCTTGACAGAATTTCCATCTTTTAGCTCAGCCTGAAATCTGTCTGGTGCAGTTGATTCTAAAAACGAAATCAAGTAGACCACATATGATAGGCTTGTCTGAATTTCTTCAGTTTAAAGCCAAAAAGAAAAGGACAGACTTGCATTTATGTATCAATTTTAGCATGATCCATATAATTTTACATGATTCACAATTTTTAAATTTTTTTTGTTGTCTTTATATGGTAAAGTACATCATTAGTCATTTGTGCATTTTTTTTTTCCATTTGAAGCAACAAAAGGTGCTCAATATCAAAAAGGGGGGGGGGGGGTTAACAGCTTAACCTGATGAAGTTTTAGCTCAGTGAATGCTGAGAAAACAATATTCTAGGATCTCGATTTCAATTCAAAAGTTGCCGGGTTATGTTTTGAATTACCCACCCGAAATCAGTCTGGGACATATCCTCATTCAGCCAATTGCAGCTACGTGATGTCTTGCACTGAACCAACAATTTGAAGCGTGTGTGCATTGTGTTAACGTTTGCGGGCACCAGTTGCCAAATTAAATACATGTACGAACTTCAAATAGGAATTTCCAAAAATGTGTCTTTAGAGGCATCTTTGGAAATGATCTTTTGTTTTCTTCAAAATGATAGCATGCCAAAAAGAATCATTTCACAGGGAGTTTAGTGCCCTTACCATCTTTCAACCAAGTAAAATTTTCAACAATAACTTTGTCAGTTACTTTTTGGATAAATGCAAATGATGTACTCTACCTTTAAAAAGCCAGAGTCAACCATGTCTTTCTGATAACCTGATATATCCATATTACTCAATAAGCCAATTTCAAAGTGACAAGTCATATTTTGATAAAAGCATCATAAATACCAAATACAGTCACTAGTTTCAGTGTTGAGTTATAAACATATTATCGTCCAATATGGATTCTTCATCAAATTTTTGATGTGCTTATAAACAAGAGTACAAACAATATACTCCATCAACATGAAATGCTAATGTTGGATACTTGTTGGGGGGGGGGGGGAGAGGGTTCACCCTGTGGTATATTGTGGGGCCTCAACTGTGATTGGATGAACATAAACAATGTGATAATTTAATCATTCCTTTTTTTGATGTTTGCAAATGTTGTATCTTCCCTTTAATGCTTAAACTTATTTTCAGCCGTAAAGTACTCCAACCCAGCCTTACTTATTGTGTGCGTCATACAATCTGGGCACTGACGACTGGTAAAACAAATTAAAATTGCGCTCGCAATACAGATGTCGCGGTGCCGCTTTCATCAAATTTGTTGAAATATAATTTTTTAAAAATGAGATTTTGCAGGGAAAAGATTGTCCCCCCCAAAAATCGGTATTTTGGAAATAAATTTGAAAAATCAGAAAAGTTTCATCTCTGTAAAGAGAAAATTTAAGGCACAACATTCAACATCTTTGTTTACAGGACAAACAAAGCTTATCGATGAATTCCAAATGTGTCAGGATTTTTGTCAACTAGGGCCTGTCTGCCTGACAACAACTTGTAATCAACGTATCTGATCTCTCCCCCCCCCTTCATTCAAAATCAAAGGAAATTTGACATCCATCCATTTTTATCTAGATTTTTATCTATTTATTGATAATCAAAAATGCCTATATAATTGGCAGCAGAATACAAAATTGTGTGCCAAGTTTTACAAGTTCACCATCAACATTTTAAAGGTATGTAACTACATGTACATGGCTGGCCAAGAAAGCATTTTGTATGTACATAGGGGCACCTAGTTTTGAGTATCCTAGTGAAAGTACATACATGCATGGCACATCACACACCACACTTAACAACAGCTGACTTTAAGTATAACATCTCTGGCTGAATTACACAATATCATGCCAAACTCTCTACAAAATGTATGAAAATGTTTTTAATTCAACAAATTACCTTCCTTAAGTGTTGTTGCACGCTCAACGTATGAGCGTGGAGAGTTGCCCTCAGGGGTTTGAAGCTGCACTACTATAGCGTAGACTGTTTTGGGCTCCAAACCACTTATCTCTTCAGAGTGAAAATTACCAACAACTCTCCGTTGCCAGCTGTCAAGATTTGAATCTACAGACCCACTTGTGTAGTACACAATGTAAGTCAAGCCAGGGCGACTACTATCAATGTCAAGAGGTGGTTTCCACTCAACTAGGATGGAGGTTGTGCTGACTGGCTTAGCATGGACATAACGCGGTGCTTCTCTAGGAGCTGGGGGAATGTGCAAGGAATGTGAGCAATTAAACAGAGATTCAATTTATAGCTTAAAGGTACTCTCCCTATGTTCTTCAACAAATTCCTAACAAGCTTAACTCTTATGCTTTATTTCACCAAGAAAAAACACCTTTTCTTAAATTTGGGCATCTCCAACCCTCATCCAAAAAGAAAGGCTTTTCTTTCAGGCTGTTTGTATGACTTTAATTCACAGAGAGATCCACATGATTTATTGTCAGTCCACACATTTTTTTGAAAGTGTTGAAGCAATTGTTTCATAACAGAGTATAAGGCGATATTTTCATTAGATGTCTTACTGAAAAAATGAATATCGTTTTTATTGCTATAAGAAAAGTGATTGAAATTATTATTAATTAACTTGAAAATAGCATAAGAGCAAGCTATAAATATTTTATATGATCATAAAAAAATACCCTGACAGCATTAGTTCATTTTGAACTAAGGTTAAAGAACAATAACAACTCAAGAGGAACTTTTAACATGTTGATGTAAAACTTTACAGTGCCAAAAAAAACCCAATCCTATTCTACTGCATTCTCACCACTGAATCAGACTGGCTTGGCAAAAGAAAGTTTGAAGTCTTTGCAGAGTTATAAGTAAGAAATCAACGGATAGCTGATAAACCACTCTGTAAGATCCAACCATGCTGACAGAGCTTAAGCTAATATCATTAACATGCAATGCAGTATGAATGACCATATTCTTTGGGGAAATGCACCCTGTGCATGGAAAGGGGAGAAAGGGGTTTTGAAAGTCTTAGGCATTCTTACCTGGATGTGGTGTGACAAGAATCACTTCAGTTCCATAGGGACCTGAGCCAACTCCTGTATGAGCCCTCACTTTGAAGACATACTGTGTGCTAGGCTTCAAGTTAGTGAAGGTGACCTGAGTGTTGACAGTGTCATTGGTAAACTCTTGCCCTGGTTCCTTCTCCAAGTAATAGAGTATACTATAGAGTGTGATTACTCCATTACTCTCCTCATCAGATGGTTTGGACCAGGACAATTGTATAGATGTACTAGTTAATGCCCTCCCAGTGAAGTTTTGTGGGGCGCCTGTAGGTTCTAGAAAATGAGAAATTGGTCCAAACATTTAATACAAAAAATGCTTGAGTTACATGTAATCTTTTCTAATATCAACAAAAACTCACTATAGTCATGATAGTAAGAAAACTGATTAGAGTTTGAAAAGTGCATACAATTGTTCAAGGCTGAATCATGTATACATGTTTTTGTACTCCTTTCACATCCTCAAACATATGCTGATACAAACTTACTTCCTTCAGGTGTGATAACATCAGTTTCTGCTTGAAGACCATACCCTTCACTGTTCTTTGCAGCCAATGTGAAGATGTATCTCTGACCCTTATCTGGTGGAAAATATTTGAGTATAGTTCATTCAAGAAGATCATTTCAACATCCATCCTGTATTTAAACATTGATCCTGAAAATTAATGTAACAATGGGAGGCCTATAGAGTACCAAAGTGTGCTGCGTGTTCTAGTTCACGTGCATAGTGAACCAGCGTCAGACTTTGGTACCCTACAACTTGACCATGTTATGTATGCAAAAATACCTACCTGTGTTACAGGAAAAGCAGAAATGCCGTAACTTAAAATTTTCAAGACATCATGGGTTAATTTCAAAAGAGCTGCTAAGCAAAGACTACAAGTTGAAAACAAAAACTTGGTAAACTTGGTAAACAAAAGCTAACAGAGAATCTGTCACTGATAACATTTTGCTGGTAACACATTTTCACTTATACAAATTAGTAACGATTTATAGTTCTATGAAATTTACCTCAAATTACAATGACTATCATTTAATCAAATAATGAAATCATAATGTGAATTTACTTACTAAGAGTAATAGGGTAGAACTCAGTGGCTGGAGGTCTAATCTCCCGATACAGAGGTCTACTGGTACTGGTCTGGTAGCTCAATTTGTACATAAGCAGGTCTCCATGGGTATCATCAGGCCTCTCCCAATGGGCATGGTAGTCACCACTCTCAATTCTCTCTACCACAAACCTTTTGGGTTGTCCAGGAACTACATGAGTACAACATAAACACTTTCGGTTATTAAGCGGTAGAAAGCGTTACTCCTAAAACTGCTCCCCTAAAAAGTGGCGCTGGAATTTCAAGAAATTGCCATCACAATTTAAAAGTATAAGGCCATTTAAATTAGCTCAATTTCAAATATGTTGCATGAGAACACATGATATAAAAACTGTGTTGATATATACCGGTAGGACTTAACATCTTGCTTCAAATATCATCTTTCACTCGCATCAACACTTGAGAAAGTTCATATTTTCAATTTCAGTCATGTAGTTGACCCGAAGTGCTTAACATGTTTATCATAGAACATGTAATACAACACCTGAATATCATCTAACTGGTGGGTGGATGATCACATGTCATTGAGGTATTCATCACAACCCACGGCCCAGCCACACCACAAAACGGAAGCTCCATTCCACAGTAAATCAAAGTTCCATTGCATGGTTACACTTGTTACCAATCAGATGACGAGGATTTAGTCAGGCGTTGTATAAAACAAATAATTCATGCTCACATTTGTGCATTTGGGTCACGGAGTTGAATAGTTATTCTTACCATTGAACTCATAACATTCATTATTTGTAAACCCACCTACTATCTAACCAATAAGCTTTCATTTTAGTTTTCTTCCTCTAAATTCTTTGTACCTTGTCCTGGAGTTTGTACTAGTTTTGGTCTGCTACGTTCTCCATCTCCTTTGATGGTATAGGCAGCAATTTCAATTGAATAGTAAGTCTTGGGGGAAAGATTTTCCAGAATTTTTTCCTGTAAAAAAAAAACCAAATCAGTTTAATTAACAAGGATAGCAATATCATCAAAGTGAATTACAAGGAAGTAACTAAAAGAAGGGCAAAACCTACTATTGATTAACAAAAAGAAGTTTTTGTGATTTAGTTTCCCTCCACAGAAATGTTTCATCTATGTACTACACCAAGTACAAAAATATTTGTTTTAACCAGTTCACGCGGGAGGCAGTATATGCAAAACTTGTGCAGTATTCGTAACAGATGACAGATAAACACGCAGGGATAGAGACCAGAAATATCTGTCAGCGACCCGCTCGCAGCGAGCCAGGCCAGAAATGCGGGTTGTGCTGCCCAAAGGTGATGGCTTCAACCTGCCTGGCTTGAGGTCGAGTGAAAAGTAATCCCGTGCCTCTTTTCATTCTTGTCAAAATAATCCCAGCATGAACTGGTTAAAGAAAGTTAGAAAACAAAAACAAAAAACCTTGAAAACGTTCATTTCTCAGCGGAAAACATTTTGTTAAAATTATCGTCTTTTGAGGTCATTATGCACACTTCGCACTGGTAGGAGACTGTGCTGACTCTCAGCATGCTGCTGGTACAAAGAGCCAGATCTGGGGTGCACATCACATGACACTACATTACTTCAATTAGTTAAGGTGACCACATACACGACATTACTGTTTGGGCAATGCACTTGACAGCTACTCAAAATTACTTTTAGGACTAAAAAGTGTAAACAGGTTTCAAATGAATTTTATTGGTGTTTTATTAAGTGCACTATTATTTTGACAATCTCACCTTTCAATTTCTGCCATCAAGTTCTGTCATCAACTACACCCAGAAGTGAGAGGTCTATGAAAATAAGACCTCCCACTCAAGGGTAACTACCCCCTGTTTATACCTACCACCCCAACATTCTTTGAAGACAAAATGCCCACTGAATGGATATTCCAAGGGGATATTGGGTGTACAGCACTAGAAATCTAGCCCTATAAGTACTGTGTTGTGTCAATTGTGTAATACCTGTTCATCTGCGTTTTCCTATAATAGAGAAGTTAGGAAGAGAGAGGACAAACAGGGCAATGTTAATAATACTCAAACTTGTGTGACATTCTCTCTTTTTTTGCCCCATTTGTTTTCTTTTCAGTGATCAGGTCTTTCTTCTTCTTTTTTTTTTGGCGGGGGATAGGTTGTTGCAGTTAACATTAATTCAGATGAAAATTAAAATCCTTTTCTTCTGAAATGTACGTCTGTGGACATTCAAAATGCATGACGTTTCTGAAAATGTGATTTTCTAACCATGGTGACTTTGGCCTTGATTTATTTTATCCTAAATCAAAAACAAGCCTTAAAAGATCCCTCCAAACAAGTTCCATTCATAAAATTATCATTCCAGAAACTATTGTTTTTGGTTCACACCCTTTTGGCCGCAAAACAAACTTACTTAATTGGAAGATGGCTATAAAATCTTCTTCTGTTAATGATATTAAAACTGCCGTCAGAATGTGTTTGTTTTCAATGATTAGGATGCACAATGCAATAGACGTTTCAAATTATGAGACATATACAACAAAGACTTCATAACCATTCACCATTCAACAATTTCTAAACTCATTATCCACACTCAGGAGTTGAAATAATGCTGGAAACGACAAGAGTCTTTGACTAACAAAGCTTAACCTGGGAAAAAAGGAAACACTACACCAACTAATGCTTCTGACAAGTAAAAATCCAAAGTAACACGCACACCCACAATTAAGTTGCATGTATATGTACATTTGTTTGTACATGCACAGACATGTAAATGTTCTAAATAAAGAAGCAGTAAAATTTAACCTTTCAGCACTCAAAACAATGTCTAGTACTGGTAATCAGGGTTTCTCCTAGGTTTTCTGAGAAAACTGTTGACTAACTTGATCCGATATAAACGATAACATTTTTGATCCTAGCAGAATCGTTTTACAAAAGCACAATGACAAGGGATCAATGATTGATAAACATGCAGGAGACACAGAAGCAAACATGAAAGGAGAAGGACAATGGATGAAGAGTTAGGGGTGCAGGAGAGTAAGCAGACAAAGGAAGCAAAGAACAAAGATAATGTGGTAATTAGGTAAACAAAGGAGATGGTGTCAATCACAAGAGGCGTTACTAGAGGAATTGACGTCACTAATAGTCTTTAAAGTATGGTTCATTCATAAGGAGTCAAACTATATAACAAGACAGCAGATGTGCATCGACTAGAATGTGTGTGCTAATCACACAGTAACCACGAAAACCAGGGGAAAATCCTTATGCTAGGTTTGTCGCCATGGTTCAAACAGCTCAAAGAAGTGACTTTTAGCTATCTCAGAAACAAATTCCTGATAATAAGCTTGCAAAATGAATAGCAAGGGATAAAGCTACAGAATACATGTAGCTTCACAGGGAATATAAAGCAGTACATCTTACCCTTATATCTGGAAGTGGAACCCACTTGACTTGGGGTGGTCCTAATGGGTCTTCATCAGCAGACACAACTTGAAAGTGAACTTGGTACCCACGGATTTCACCATGTTGTCGATCCAATACAGGAGGGCTCCAGCGAACGGCAATGGTGGTTGAATTCAAGGCTTCAACACTAACCTTGCGTGGTGGACCTTCTGGAACTGCATCAGGGGCAATCAAATATCCAGCAAAACGTGGCAAATTAAATTACTAACATTTGGAAAGTGCAATGTAGTTAAAGTGTGCTAGTTTTGAGTTTCATTGCTATTTATTTAGCAATGCAAAAGTTATTCACTTTTGAATGAGACATCAACCAAAACAAAATCTGCCCATGTTTAGTTATCGAATTATTACTTTACAAGAGCAAATTATTGGCTGCCAGTCAATAATTCTGTTCTCGCAGGGTAGGCTGGTTCCTGCCCCACACAGTATGGACTGAGAGCCAGCCTGCTCACAGTTTGTGCCCAAACAAAAACTTTTCCAGAGGGTTCCAGATGTCAAAAAAGGAAAAAGAAAGGTTTTTTTTGGTAGGAGTAAAACAAAGAAGTTGAAAATTTATTAATAGAAAAAAAAGTTGAATTTGTTACAGAACACTTTAAATCTAGCAACCTACAAAGTACTGTTTAATCTTCACTGTCATTTCCTGTCTTGGTGCCTGAAAAATCCAGACTTTTTTAGGGGCTGCAAAGCCATGTCCATTTTGCAACAAAAATTGCCAAGTGGAATTCTACCTATGGCTTTTAAATGATGTTTTATACAGGGATATGAACATGTGCTTATGCTTAGGTGTGAAAGTGTTGCCCTTTTATTTGGATCTCATGCAAAGAATTGTTTAAAACTGTGAACATTAAAATTTGGGCGCTAAATGTAGCCTAGAGTAAGAACAATGTGGCTATTTGCCGTGAACGTGTCCCATCAGGTTTTGGTACTTTCTTAAGCATTATTTAATCACTTTAAACAAGGATAAGCTCACTTTGTGCAGGCTACACAAAGTTATATTGACCATGTTAACAAAATCAGGTTCTTTAATTGTTTTCATTTGGTGCTGTAAGTATTACAGGACTGTTTGCATGACTGTATTTTGTATGATGCTTTAAGTGGTACTCACAAAAGCCTTTTAGTTTTAAGCAACATAAAGTAATTGCCAGCTTTGTCCTTGTGTTTGTAGAACATAAAGAATACTGAATCATCACCTGTGACATGTGTTTTGACATGATGTAGAAACTTAACAAATACAAAGGGCACAAAAGTCACACATCACAATTTAACGCAATTTTAATAAATGCTTTTAACAGAAAGAGCAAGGTCTACCTGTATCTATGGATGCTGTGCATTGTCAGGCAATGTGCATTCAACTAGTTAATGAAAAGAAAGCAGGCCATTCAGAAAGTCAATGTTTAAATTTGACCCACCCACTCGCCCCGAATTTTGATTTTCAAACATTGAATGACTACTCAATATATCCTATACACTAAAGAACAAAGTAATGCTTCAAATGAATCAGATAGGTAAGGTCAATGCTCTCCCAGCTCAGGAGTTTTCAATGGCCTTTCCAGGCTTATCAGCATGCAACTTTGAAGTTGAAACAGAAGAGGAAATTGCCAAGTACACAAAACTTTGCACAATCATTTCCAGTTTTCTATGACACTGTATTTTACTTTGTTGTGATTAGCTTTTCTTGTGTCCAAAACCATGTCTCGATAGTCCACCTCATTCCAACGGTAGATAAATGGGGAGATCGTGTGAGTGTCGATGACCCTTCGAGCATATTGGGACGAGGTTGGGTTTTGTGTAAACATTAAAGTACACAGAGGTCGGCTATTGCAACAAGGTTAACCAATGACAGCGGAACAGCACAGACATGACAGACATCTTGAAGAGGTCGCTGAAGAGGGTTATTTTGGTGTTTTTTCCCTTCTTCTTTTATTTTTGTTTTCTATTACATTAATTCAAAACTGAATTTCCATTTTCAGTTATTTCCTTTGAAGATCTAAATTTGTAAACATTGACTATTCTGAATGGCCCCTTAGCCATGGTCAACTATGATCTGTTTAAGGTTTTATCCATGTTCCTCATGTACCGGGGTAGGTAATCATGGTTACAGTCATTTTAGCTGCAGTGACACTTGGAGCAGTGTGAAATTATGTTTTTGCATTTAACCATAAGACTGGACAGACAACAATCTTTGCATTTGGTAGTATTACACACATATTATTTATAAAAATCAAGGTTAATTACTCAAAGTGTCTGTGTCTTTTATATTAGTAAAAGATTTACAAAGCAAAGACATGAGTGCAAGGATGACATGTGTTAGGTTGTGAAATTGTTTTCATAAGTAATTCACTGCACAAGAACAAAGTGTGATGAAAAAGTGTGGGAGAAATACACATTTCATAATTAACTGTGGTGTACATACAGTCAACTCCAGTAGTAACAAATCTGCCAGACCTCTCCAACTTCTTTTTCATATCCGAATATCCAGCAGAGAGCTGGTTTTCCCATTCATTGCACATGTACACATGGTTTTGTTGGTGCACGTACGTTTGTATAACACTTTCAAAACCGTCACACTATTTTTTTACAGTAAATAAAGATATTTCAACTTTGTTTGGAAGTGTTTTTGATTGTGTACTAACTAGTATTTCAAATGTCTTGATAACAGAAATCCCCATACTTTTACATCCGATGGAATTAGCAGCGATTATGAGCCACGCTTTTTAAATTTAATTGCACATGTACGGCGACAAATCACTGTTATCAGATCCCACAATAATGAAGACCTGTTTTTGACATGTTTGAGGCACAGTTTTCAGAAAGAAGCACATTAACCCCTACAAGGGCTCTTTGGGGGTCAAGTACCAAATACCACAGAATACTACAGGTGTTGTGCACACTTGTATGGAAGGAAATGCATACTACAGGTTACTACTGAGTAGTACTATGTAGCTTTAGGTAAGGTTAGGGTTAATGACTTCAATCAATAATCAGCACTTGTCTCCAGGGTCCAAAATTTGTTACCTGAAAACCACAATTTCCAAGGTTGTATGTATTCTACTTTTTAACCATTTTTTTCAAACATCATTTTGTTGGAAATGTTTTTAGTGCCCAAAAGTGCACATACACGTACCAGTTGAAAGTGCTCCTTTAAAGGGAAGATACAACATTTGAAAACATCAAAAAACAAAATGATCAAATTATCACGAAATATCTTACTGGATTGTTAGGGAATGACAGTCTAAAGCATCCTGTAAAATTGTTGCTCCTGGTGTGCTGACATTTTCAAGAAAAGTTGTACTTTTCCAACGCTGGTCGGCCGACCAGCGTTGGAGAAAACTGTCTTAATTTAAAAAAACCCAAAAAACTGCTCCTAATTGTTCATATATTCTGCATTTTCTTCGCAATTATTACACACAGGTGTGAAGTGGTACAAGCCTGCCAGACTTATTCTCTGACCTTACAATTCCCCAAAGTCTATAAATTGCTCAGTTTCATCTTAAGTGGGGTCAGGGAACCAGACTACAAGAACATGAATGGTCTTGGTTTTTCAGCATCTACCAGCCCAAAACGTGTAACAAGTCAGTTTAACAATATTTGCTATAACATTCTAATCCTCCAAATCCATTTATTTCTGAAACTTGCAGCAAAAGCAAATGTTGTACATTCCCTTTAACAGTTGTTCATATGCATACAAGTACTAGCAATGATTGATATGTCTAAGGAAGCCAATTAATCAGCACGACATGGACAGATGATGTAATGTATCCATCTTGTATAAGCCCAACAAAAGCCGCATTGATTGTACAGTTATCTCTCTCTGTCTCTATCCTTGAATGCTGTTGCCCTGCTAGTTATTTGCAAATGGTTGCCTTGCAAAGCCACGTCACCACCTGGTCGTCTGCGAGGTTAACAACAAACAGCATGCTGCATGGGCCACGACCATAGATAACCGCAGCACAAGATTATCATGCTACATGCTACACACCATTAACATTGAAAGAAATAACCCCAGCTCACAAATTAAGCTTTATAATGCAAGCATTGCCTATTTTCACAGTTTTCAAAGAGGGTTTGTTGTAAATGGGACACAAACAATTTTGTTTCTTTTCTGCACCTGGGTTTTTAAAAATATCCATCTAAACCATGTGTGGTTTTTTTTCTTTGTGGAAGGATGCCATGCTAACTTCCTTGATATGATTTTGCACATGCTGTATGGTGCTCCTGACATAATGCAAATTGAAAAAAAATACTGTGGTTGTAAAAAGTAGGTCATGTTTAGCGCACTTTTCACAGAATATTTCTCAGGCATTTCCTTCAATCTTTGGACATTGTGTGTGCTGATTAGGGCATTTTGGCCATTTTGGTTGTGAAATAAGATTTTTATTTTAGGGCATAGTGGCAAATGCAACAACGGTACAATGCATCACGCTATCATGTGAAAGTTGGACTCAATGAATTCTGGTCTCTTTTGTCTTACATGTACATGTACTGTACGTGTATTTAACTTTCACATGTGATGTGTCACTGTTCTTATTCTATCCACTAAGGAATGTGCAATACAACCAAGTACAACAGCAATGACTGCATGTGACAACCTATTAAAGGGACACTAGGTCCTGGAACAGCCCAATTGGGCTACAAAACGCGCTTTGAATGAAATTAATTTGATCGGAAATAACATTTAAAAGTAGGATATAAACATCCACACAACTATCCTTTCAAAACTGGGCGTTTTTGTGTAATTCCTGTATTATGCGTGCGAGAACGAAATTCGGGGTCCACTTTTGCGACCCCATAAATGATTTCATTCGTGAAGTGTTCGTCTTTTGCGGACATTGAAGAAACCACTATTTTTGCATTGGTGATTGGTCACCGCTGTTCCCGAGACACACAACGTACACTGAGAACGACACGAAAAACGTATTCATGCTCCGTCGTGTCCGATGTAAACAAGTGAGGTTTTTTTTTGTCTTTTCTCGGGAACGGTAAGACATTAGGTTGGTTTCCTTTCAACCAGATGTTTGAAATAGGCTAAGTAAACAATCCAAAACATGAAATTTTCGAGGATTTCAGGACCTTGTGCACCTTTAAGGTTGAGGCCTGCAATACTATACGCAAATAAATGCATTTCAAAATGAAAGTACTGTTAAAAGACTCAAAGTAAAACTATAGTTAAAAGAAGCACATTAATCAGTAAATTGACAGGCAGAATACAGTGATTAGTTGCATTTATGGTGAATATGGTGAAATAATTAGACAGACAAGATGGCAGATTGAGCACATTAGGGAGGTGTGATATGCATATAGCAGGGAAGATGTAAAGGTAGTGATGGGAATGCTACTCAGCTCAGTTATCAAGGATGGTGTTGTTCATGTGCTGCTGAATAACTAATGGATGGTTAGGAAGAAGCACATTGGCATGATTCTTCAGAATAAACTCAAAAATGTACATACCATCTTCATCAGTTTCAGCACTTATTGGCCGGGATGCAGGCCCATCCCCAATCTTTGTAGACGCCAACACAGTTATCTGATATATTGTCCACTTGTCAAGATTTACCAAGACACAAGATCTGTCATTAGGCCCCACTGCCAGTAACATTTCGTCTTGCGTATCCACTTCTCCACTACGAGGGACTTTCACATAGCTGACTTTATAGCCTGTTACATCGCCATTTTGGCGGTCTTGAGGTGGTGGTTCCCATTCAATCCGAAGACTTGTAGAACTCAGAGTAGTGGCTTTGACATCTTGTGGGGGAGCACCAGGGACTAGTGGAAGGAAGGGGTCAGTGATATGTACAGCACACAGGTTACACAACCAAGGTTAACATCAATATACTTTATATTGGAAATTACAACAAGTTTAAAGGAAATACATGTACCGGTATGTACAACATCAGATAATACACACGTCATTTTAACCCTTTCAGTCCTACACCCAAGATTCCAAGTACATTCATGAATCTGCAAATATCGTCACCATATTGACGAAGTGACGAAACTGCCCAAAAAGCAGCGAACCAAGTTTTGAGAAAATCAAAAATCAAGACTTGTCACTGGTTAAAACGCAAAACTGAGTGTGATTGAAGTAATTAACAATCGGTGCAATTTTCCATCTTAAAACTTGGCAGATTATGTAGAGGACATCATAATATGTAAGAATTTTCAAAAATGTCAAATTCCTTAAATCACTGGTTTTGGACAGATTCGTCACTTCTTCAATTGGGTGAAGATATACCGGCTTTGTGAACAAGTATTCCGGGAACTGGAATTGGCTACATCAGAGATCGATTCCTCAAAGAAGTGGAATCGATTTCCGATTTTGGAATCGATTCTATTTAATTTTGGCGTGGATTCGCCCAAGCCTACCTGTGACTGGATGGCAAGCATGTGCACTGCACATCTGTTATGCCATTCTGCACATTGTTCACTTGATAGAGTGACATCATCTGCCTATAATTGCTTTCATTACACAACTTACCAGCTTGTTCTGTGCGAACTGATACAATAGGTGTGCTAGCTCCCTGCCCTGCCCTGGATTTTGCAGCAAGGCGTATGTTATAGACTGTGTTTGGCTTCAAATCTTCGAGGGTGTATGTCTCTGCTTTAGGAATACTCCTATGTTCATCATTTCCAGTTTTTGAGTCATTGTAATACAGCTCATAGTAGAGAATCTGAGCCTCAGTTTCACGTTGTCTCCATGTCAAACGGATCTGTGTTGCAGAGATGGCTTCACCAACAAACATTTCGGGTTGGCTAGGAACTAATCAAGCAATGTGTAAAACAAAGAATTACATGGAGGTTACATCATCCAAAATAACATAACGAATCAAAGGAATGTCATTTCATACAAATCAAGGCCAAAGAAAAAATTGTGTGTTTACGGTAAACTGATCTACCTGCATTTTGTTAGACTAAAATGCCGACCTCAAACTGTTTATTGACACCTTTGCTGAAAATATAAAATAAAGTGTATTTTACAAATATAATGTTTTCCCTTTGCTAGTGGTTTATGTTGCTCCAACCAAGCATGCTGCCATGTCTCATTGTCTTGTGCCATGTTGTGTTGTGCCGTTAACATACACATGACAAATCATGTGGTCCTGGCCAGCCACGATATGTTGCACCAAGTCTGCAAATCCAGAAATGCTATGACCGTTCGATAAATTTTGCGCCATTTGTTTCTATTTGTGTAATCAAAATAATCAAAACATAGAATTATTATGTTTCCCTGTAATTAAAACAAAACAAAATTTTGACACTGACAGGACAGACCAAAATGAAAGGAAATTGAAGTCATATTTCACACTGTCATAGCCGAGAATTAGCTGGTTCTAGGGCTGTCCCAAATATACCAAATATACTGAATATTCGATCATCAACCAAATATTCGAATAGCTTTTGGCCGGTTGGAATCTTCAAAAACAAATATGCACACAACTGTGATGTTATCGTAAAGTTGTGGCGCATTATCGTCAGGTTCCACTTTTTTTGTCGACGGTAACTTTTTTGTCAACAGCGGTTCATTGTTTCCATCCTTTTAGCAGGTTGAAGCCCTTGACAGTTATAAAAATACTTACAACTGTACTGCAAACACTCCAGGAACCCATATCGATTGCCGGACCCCAATTTTATATGTCGCCCTGTGTGCACCTTTTCAATGGGGGGTGCCATCATGAAATTTGCGACGGACCATCTGTCACCATCTCACAAAATGAGTGTAATGTGAATAGTCTAATAACCCAACCTGACACTTACCCTGACCTACATTTTATAATTTAAATGTGTATGTCAACAGATAAAAGCTAGATGCTTCGTACAACGTCCGCAATCGTGCAAGATTAGACGAAAAGCAGGGAAATTTGCACATGACACCAAACCAATATGTTTCATTTATTATAATGAATTTTATCATTTATGTTTATGTGTTATACTCAAACTCCAATAAAGGTAGACAGACACCAAGGTTAAGTTTGTTTCTGCATTCAATAGGGACGTTGAACAATAGAGGACAATAGGGTCCCCAATTCCAGAGAGGTCCCCAATTTGGATTCGTGTACAAAACATATGGGAGGTCTTCCTAAAAAGTTGCAGTACAAACAAAAGAGGGACAATAGGGGGTCCCTGATTGCAGGCAAATACAGACTTGCGTGTGCGTGTTCATACACTTCAAACCGTGGACGAAAAATCCAGAGAACAAAAGAGAACAATACTGTCCACGATCCCCAGCATATGTCCACGATTGAGGTCGTGTTCAAAACCTATGGGAGTACAAACAAAAGACGGACAATAGGATGTCCACGATCGATTGTGAACACACATTTGGGTGTGGGTGTGTTCCTGTATTGTATTACACTCGTGGACAGACCACAAAAGGAGCACAAAGGGGCCATTCATCCTCGAACGCCGGTGCCTATTGTCCTCGAACGCCGGTTTGTGCACTAAGTCTATGGGAAAGGCTTAGATCAGGGAACAAAGGAGAACACAAAGCCAATCCTCGGAAGCATAGCAAAAAACGACTGGGTGTGTGTGTTCCTGCATGGCATTACGCCTGAGGACAGACAACAAAAGGAGCACAAAGGGGCCATTGATCCTCGAAGGAAGGTGCCTATTGTCCTCGAATGCAGGTTTGTGTGCTTAGTCTATGGGAGAGTGTTATATTACAGGGACAAAGGAAAACACAAAGCCAATCCTCGGAAGCATAGCAAAAAACGACGGTGTGTGTGTGTGTGTGTGTGTGTGTGCCACAGCTTCAAGTTTATTTCAAGAAACTTAACGCAAATACCAAAAAGTAGGGCAAACCGGAAACATTAGGTGGTACCCATGACCAATTAAATAGAGAGCAGCCTAGATAAAAGTGGGGACTGAAAAGGAACAATTCAATGTTTCCAAAATACCAGACTATTATTGGAAAATCCTCACCGATTCAACCAACGCTATCAAATAGGTGGACTGTGGGTGCTGACTGGACCGTACTGATGAGGTTTATGGCCCGACGCCTCGGAGCCTTCGGATTTTCTCTCCTGGGGCTGTGAGGGCACCCTGGCCCATCTCTCAGCTGCCTTTAAAAAAACAAGGTGGTTCTCGAACCATGCGTCTCGCCTGTTATCTTTTTGATTTCTTTGATAGAGTAAGGTGTGCATAGTAGGGTGGCAATGGCAAGGGGTAGTCATGCGGATGAGAGGGCCCTGATCAGTGTAGAAATAATTGTGGGTAGTAATGAGGGTGGAATTGTACGAACTGCTAATAATGACCTCTAATGACCTTTGACCAGAGCATGTGCCCTTTCACATCATGATCATATGAAGATTCCCATGTTGCACCTATTCCCCAATTTTAGTTGCAAGTGCACTTCAACTTCTGAATGAGATCAATTGTACATGTACATTGTCAGCCCAGTTGACAACTTGACCTCAGATGACCTGTGACCTTGGATTGTGACCTTTGACATCAGATATGAAGGATGCCATGTTGCATCTATGACTCAAGTTTGGTTGCAATTGGACTTCCAACTTTTCAAATGAGACCAATTTTACATTTTCAGGCTGTTTTACGACTTTACCTCAGATGACCTTTGACCTCTGTATGTGACCTTGGACTTCATGATCACATGTAGGTTGCCATGTTGCATCTATGACCTAAGTTTGGTTCCAATTGGACTTCAACTTTTCAAATGAGACAAATTTTTTGAAACTTTAACCAAAATACCACATACATGTACCGGTACATGTATACGCATACGTGCGCCCGTCCATACGGACATAGGTACAGACATAGTGATTGCCTAGTCTCTCTCCTTAACTTTGTTAAGGAGAGCCAAAACAAGATGCTACCCCAAGCCATGTGAATCCACTTTACTCAGCTCCCTGACGAAGCGGTTCTCTAACAACCGAGGTATTCTTCCTCCATCCCTCGGTGTGTCTTGCTATGTGTTTTGCACAGCTGTAGCTGTCAACCGCCGTATATGAAGCGCCCCTCGCGGGGTTTTTAGCAGCTATGTTTATTATTTACATTCTCCATTTTTTCTTCTTCGCCCCTTTCTTTTCCATTCTTCATTTTCGATTTTGCCAACAGCACCATGATTTTGCCGACAAAACTGACTAATTGGGGGGGGGGGGGGGGCTCACATCCCCCTCTAGCTTTTGACTGGCACAGCACAGAGTTGCAGGTGGCAGTTTGGAATATCAGAATATTCATCCAAAGCACCGTTGAGTAATTGAATACTAAATTCATCGACAATGGACAGCCCTACCGGTAACTGGTTCACAATTCTTAACCTATTTCACATCTTTATCAGACTCAAAAGAAGTTTCAAAATAAAACCATTTACCCATCTGCCTGGAAAAATGTTCAGGCGTTTACCGTAAACACACAATTTTGGGGGGCCCAAGTTTTAAGATGACCAGCACAGACTTGGTTGTATTTGTCTTTGAGAAGTCCCTCCTTCCAATATGAATCCTAATCAATTTGTGGTTAATAACTCCATGTTGATTCCACGAATATGGCCCCCTTAAAGACAGTCTGGTTTCTTTTATTCAAATCCCAAATGCATTTGCGAATATGGTTTGATGTACACATATAGCTCAGTCAACAAAAGCTAGGTCAATAAAGGCAGAACAAAATTTTGCGAAAGGGTTTTGATTGCATGCTGTTAGACCAAGTGCATGTAAACATTGTGGTAACCTCGTTTGCCTTTTTTACTCAACAAAAGGTTGAATAACTTATTCATATTGCACAAATCTGGAAAAGAAGTGTTCTTCCAATTAACAGTCATACCGTTGTTGAATGTGGGAACAAACTATCAAACTGAAATTGGGTGAATGTACATACCTCCTTGCTTTGTTATGACCTGGACTGCATTTGAGGCTGGCCCTTCACCAATAGCAGTAAATGCTGAAGCACGTATTGAGTAAATCTGGTCTGGATTGAGGTCACTAATTGTTGTCAGTCTCTGGGTACCATCTTCCACTGAATGTTTATACCAGAAGCTCAGATTCTGACTGGGTGTGTTGCTGTAATAGATGTTATAGCCTCTAACAATCCCATTGGGTGTTTCTGGAGCTGTCCATTGCACCAGTATAGTGCTTGCACTCAAAGGACTTGCACGAACTTCTCGTGGGGCCGTTGAAGGTGCTGTGTTTTGGGGAATAAAAATAACAATGACTTAAGTACATTGAGATTCAATTTACATTAAAAAAAACAAAAAAAATACAACTCCAACTAATGATTAAAAACTTACAATATTTACAATCAAATTTAAGATATAAAAGAGAATTTTTACAGGTGATTTTCCTCCATGACACCACCGATACAAGCGATAAAATCATAAAAAGAGAATGATTTTTTTTGTCAAAAGCCTTGTAAAAAAAAAAACAGTTTATTTTTAAGTTTTGATGGAGCCATTTTTATGATCGGGGCATTCACCGTGCAAACCATTTAAGAGCTGCTGAATCACCTATCATCAGCTGACCCGAGGATGGAATGTGTGAATATGGTCAACCTGAAAGGACATCCAACACATGAATTTCTCTCAAGACATTGCAAATTATTTTCCATGACGCTGCTATTTTGACGACAATTTGTTCTACTTGAAAAAACAATGCTTTTTACAATGTGCTATTTGACTGTCATATCGTCCAATTGATGCTACTCCATGCTACCAATCATCTGCTCACCCAGCTGTGCTGTAGTGACTGTCAAGGCCCTGCTGAAGTCTCCCCGACCTATTGTATTGACTGCTGCAACACGCACATTGTACTCTGTGAAAGGCAGCAAGTCATCGATGGTATACTCAGTGACAGTAATTCCAGCTATTTCTTTGGCAGCACCAGGAGAGGAACTTGGCTCATATTTCAGAACATAGGTCTTAATAGGTTCATCAGTGCCAGCTATCCACTGGACAGTGACTGTATTAGCAGTATGCTGGCTCAATGTTGGCACAGGTGGAGAGTCTGGACGAGCTGTCATTAAAAAGCAAAGAAAACAGAAAAAAAGTAGAAAATGTTTACATATTAGTCTCTCTTTCATCTTTGTTTTCGTGTAAGACATCCCACAACCATATGCAAACATAAACCATGTCCTGCAGACAACTTAAATCAACAACATTTAGTCCTAATATGTTTGTTTTTATCACTTGTCAGCTGTCTAAGGCCAAACAAAAATACTTTTGATTTGGGTCACCTGACCGACCCTATTTTTGAAAGCAATAAAATGCGACCCCAAACAATTTTATTGGTTATTTGGAAAAAAAATATTACGATACCAACTTTCGATCAACATTGGTCAAAATCGCCGACCGCCAGAACATTTTATAGGCATTTATCAGCAAGTGATTTTTTTTCTTTCTGGTATTATCCGAAAGAAAACATCGTGGTCTAACATTAGTTTGTGTGTACTTTAAAAATACGTACGTTGTACCAAAACCGCTTGGGTTCTTCGTCACTTAATCTTTATTGCAACACAGTCCAAAATGTCTGGTCCGTGTGTCTCATGTTCCTTTGTACGTACACACATGTGTGCGAACAGCGCAGTATTGCGTGTCGGGGAAAATCCCCACGGTAATGTCTGTGCCCAACAAGCAATACTATTGGTAGACCGCGAGTTACACGGCCACACTTTCGAGCCTAGGGACGCCATGCATCATGGAAACCGATTTTCGATGAATTTTTTTTTTGAAATTGTGGGACAAATCATGGAAGCAAAGTGTCCTAATGATCCTTTTTTAAACTTAATGCTTTTAGGTTGCTGAAAGCAAGTAATTGTTGATATCGCGTTAGCCAACAGGAAAATTTGTTATGCGATATCATTCCAATGGCCATGTGCGTTGTAGACTTCACATCGATGTAGACTTCACATCGGATCGGATGGCTGCATGTCTTTTGTGGCCTTCGTTCGGCTCTCGTGCACATACGTACACACAAGACTTCAATTTGCTCTAGACATCGGAGAATGTGAACATTTTCAAAAAACAAAAAGGAAATTTCTTCCAGTGAAATCTCAAAATGATATTCAGGGAATTCTTTGCGGAAAAAAAATGGGGAAGTTGACGACGATTTTTCAATTGATATCGCCGCAAGAGGCCAACCTGACGAACCATGGAGAAGCGTAGAGAATGTCAACACGACAGTGGTTGAACCATGTTCCTTATTCTATGGTTAAACTTACAAACTTCTTACAATAAAACATGTCACAAAAATCTGCCCAAAACACCTTGATTGGGGACCACTTAAACATGTATCATTCCTCACATGTATTGGCTCCAGAAAAAAATTAAAATAAAATAAAATGTCATGCCGACCGACCAACCTAATCTTTTCTTCAGTAGGTGTACAGATCTCTACATGCACTGGGAAGGATATTCCACTTTGGCTCAAAACATTTCACAACTCTCTAGAGATTACAAGTAACTAGAGATTGCAGTGTGTACATATATGTATGTGCAGTTGGATATGTTCCATTTACTTGATGTACGTATGTTGGCTGTTACATTGGTAAACATACAAATAGCGAATAGCTTAATACTAACACAAGAGCTGGTGAAACGCAAGTTCCAAATTACATTCTAACAAAACTGACACTGATTAAAATACATTGCTAACATGATGATATTGACACTATTTTGTACTCACTCCTGACAGTCACTGTTACTGTATGTTCAATCTCTCCAAGGTCACTCATTGCATAACATGTGTACTCTGCAGTCTCCTGTACATTCTTCAAAACCAGGACACTTCTACCCTGGGGAAGAGTATCATCAGGACCACTCAGATCCTCATCACCTTTCATCCACTTAATGACAGGCATTGGGGAACCATTGGCTGCACAGGTAAGGTTCACATTACCACCAGGGACAACTTCTTGCGTCTCAGGGAAAATGGTAAAGCGTGGTGCCACCCGTCTCACTGAAAATTGAATAAAAATGAATAGTACAATTTCAGTCAATTGACGTGGCAAATTTCACTAATTTTGAAGTATATACTGTATGTATTCAAAAGAATCTACATGTATAATGACAAAAACTAAATATGGGAAACTTCAGTCATAAAAATTAAAGGTTGAAAAGCTGCTTCGCTCAATGCAAAACCAACACAAAAGCCGTCAGGCGCATCTGCTACAAGCCTATTTTGATGATGTCATGCAACATCTCCAATCGGGTGACTGTTTCATTATTTTGTTCCATGCCCAACATGTGTACAATCGTACATGTTTGTACACGTACGTCCGTACACACGGGTGCACACTACACGTAGATATATGCAGTCATCACTGCCTGACGACGTGTCTGGTGTCGAACTAAAGATTGATTATAGAACTGGAGAGTGAAATAGAGCGCAGGGGTTTCAAAATAAGCTGGAAACCGGTGAATTTGACCGGCTATTTGAACTTTTGCGCCGGCTACTTTTTTCCAATCATGAAAAAAAAAAAACCTTCCCTTCTACAACGAAGGAATCTGTATACAATTAAAACAAAAAACCTTATCATAAAAAATTCATGGCCCTTGAAAATTAAATTCAGACCTAGGCCCTACCTAATTGGTGGTGCACGCACGTTTATTTTTTGTGTGGATTTTTGGTGTGCAAAAAGTCGCAGCCAACTCGATTAGGTGCGCATGATCGATAGTAATTATATCCACATTGCTGTGGTGTGGAAAATGACAACGTAGTGAGCGCTGCATGTGCGGTATAGACTGGAGACTATGCTGACCTCATAATCACATATCGAACCGAGTGAGAAGAGAGGCTGTGTTCAGACTAGCTCTGCTACTATGATTGAGGGCGCTATACATGAAGTGTTAAACTTGCACAATCTTCACTATCACGGATGATGGACTGCTTCGTTTTGCATTTTAATTAAAAGGGGCTTTCTTCATCTTGTAGATTTTTATTTGTAGTAAAATGTATCATTCACGAAATTTTAACGTTATGGGTTAGGCTTATTACTAGTCGTTGAGGATGGTTGTCCAGCGAATTTACAAAATTGACAAAAAACGGAACCACGTTAGGCTGAAAGGCCAGTCTACCTTAGTTTGACAAGCGGTGCTTATGTTGTCAAATTGGCGTCATTATCATCGAAGCGAAAGTTGCAATCGCAGGCAAACTTACTGACTTTTTTCCAGAAGAAACAGAGAGGTTTTGAAAGTACCTGAGGAACCATTTATCACCTAAATTAAGTTATATTATTATATTCAAAATACATGAAAACAATACATTGGTAAATTCTACAAAATCAATGACAAGATTGATAGGCTGCATGGTAATTCCTCCATGGTTATATATTGCACATGGGTTTCCCACGTACATGGTGGGTTTAATTTTAAATGAGGTTTTCGAGCAAGTTGTTATGCCGTTGTGTTATTATGCCCATAACTTGCACATCCATAGGCCCGCCTCAGGGTTTTTTCCCAGATATATTTCACTGCTTCTTGTTGCATTTCAGATAATTTAACTTTGTTAATGAGAATTTAAGGGGTTTTGTGTGCATCAACAAATATGCATGCGGTGTACATTTCTATGACTGTAAAAAATAGTCTGATTATAAGGGAGGTGGGCTGTTTTTTCCCACATTTTCCGTCGATATGAATTATTAACATTTTTTCTCTTGCAGAATACAATGATTACATGCACATTTATAATCAACTGGGAAACCTCTTGTCCATTTTTTAGAAAAAAAATTATATGACAATTAATTTTATTCCAGCAGTAAGATAAATGGGTTGACCACCCGCAGGGAAACCCCAGGCCAATTTTTTTTAAACTTCTGTAAATTAATCAATCAGTTTCAAACAACATGTAAATGAATGCAACGTACACATTTTGTGTCATTTGATGATTTCACTTGCAATATAGCTCTTTTTTTTTAACAGATTGGCCCCAGTAAACGAAACGAAATATTAATTGAGATGTTTTTATTCTTATTTTGATAGAAGAGGGAGAGCAGCAGCAATGTAGCAGCTCTACTACTACTAGTCCCACTACAAGCAGCCATGCATCAATGATGACAGGTAGTGCTGAGCAGCCGGAGAGTTTAAGTTCATCGGCAAGCAGCAGCCATTGTCACGGCAGTGCTCCACAGCTAGATGATCGTGAGATGGAGATATAACTGAACAGTTTATTCACACCAGAACAACTTGAGAAGGCTCATCATTTTACCATGTGCAGAGCCACTGGCTGCTGTTCAGTATCCAAGGAGGAAAAAGACTGACCGAAGGAGGAAACATCTAAGGGAAAGTTCCGAGACCAGTTTCATCATGAGTGCTTACTTGACAAAAGTATCTCATTTTGCCATAAGACAGGACTGTGGTGGTCTGTGTATGTTGAGGGTAAGGGGCTGTTTTGCCTCTTATGCCGAAAGCATCAAAGCAAGTCCAATCAAAATAGGTGTGAAACATTTGGATCCACACCTTCACTGAGATCCAAGCACATCACCCTATCTGATCATGCCAACTCTCCAAAGCATAATGCAACTGTGGACAATGAGCTGTTGAATAGATTTCCGTTCTTCCAGAAGCAGCTTCATGAAAAGGAAAGTCTAAAGCATGATGTTCTTGAAAAGGCCTTTCACTGGTTGGCCAAGGAGTCCATTGCCAATACTAAGAATGCATCCTTCCTCAAACTGGAGCTGTTGGGTTTGGAACAGTTAAAGTACTTTTCCCATAGATCAGTTGGGTCCCTGAGAGAAATACTGATAACAATTGAAAGTAAATTGTGTGAAGATATATCGTAAAAGCTGCAGGAGTCGGCAGGTGACCAGTTTTATGGTCTTTTTGTGGATGATGCATCAGATATTAGCAACACAGAACAACTAACTAAGTTCAGTATTTTGACGAAGACACGGGTACTTGGAATGCAAGTTCTATTCATTGCTGATGTTCTGCAAGAATCAACCAGTGCCGAAGCAGCAACTCTGCATGCAGTCATCAAAAAGGAATTACAGGCCTTGAAAATTCCTCTGAAAAACCTACGAGCCTTGGCCACTGATAGGGCTAGTGTAATGGTAGGGTGCCGAAATGGCCTTGCAATGTCAGTTCCATCATCTCAGTCCACTGCATATGCCACAGACTCCCACTTGCTTGCACTGACAGTAACAAACGGTGTTGTCGGTCTCCAGACCGGTCTCGGTCTCGAGACCACTTTTTGCTGGTCTCTGTCTCGGGAGCTGTGGTCTCGGGAGCTGTGGTCTCGGTCTTGGTCTTGGTCCCAGCTCCTTTTGGTCTCGATATTTTGGCTGGTCTCGAGTCGAGACCAGCCAAAATGTTGCCATTTGAGTTGGGCACATAAAGCGAAGTAAGTACTAATTTATGCAATAAGGGCCAACCATTTCGGGCATTGTGTAGTTTAGCCCACCCCTGTGGGCGTTAACTTAACGTTAATGTTAACGAGGTGCTCCAAATTACTGGCATTTTCGACCCCAATCTTCTCTTTAATTTGGAATAGTATTTTGGAGAAAGAGTACCGGTACGCTTTCCAACCTGATTTTCCAGCAATGAATTCACACACTCGTACCAGTTACCAATCTCTGTTGCCATGAGAGTGTATGATGAGACTCAATTTTCTGGCTGCTCATTTGAAGTACCTCATTATTCCTCAAAACGCAAAATCCCAGTCAGAAAAAAAATAAAAATCCATATCTGGCTACCACCTCGCAACTTTTGGGTCTACCGCTACATGTTTAGGTCTATATTCCATGACGGAAATTTAAAAAATAAATCAATATTTTCTAGCTCCAATTTTTTTGAAATCAGGTTTACAAGAATCGAAGACCAATGTAAAATCAATATTGCATTTAAAAATCTGTTAATAGTCATAGCTGAAACCAAGGGGTTGCTGTGGAGTTTAGGGTCCGAGTTCCTATAACAGATGAAACATCCACCTTTAACTTTGTCAAGTTTCAACATTGCAAAAAAAAAAGTAAAATTAATCGTACTCCTATTAAAGTAAGAGTTTCTTCCATCAGATTTACACTTTATAGTAGATAAAATATATTTTAAAAAATATTTAAAAACAGTTGCGACGATATATGGAGTTGTTTCCATTTTTTTAAAATTGATTGTGACAATAACAAATTATGTTGCAATGTTGTAGTTTAAGGTATGAAGCTAACATAAAGAGCATTCCCATGACACAAGAAGGTACAAGTGATTCCTATAGTTTTCAATTACTTCCTTTACATCCCCATCAACATCATCATCTCAAGGACAGACTGTTCAGCTGTAATTATGTGTCTTGTTTTTATTTAGATTATTGTTATTTATTATCCGCGGTCTCGGTCCGCCATGAAAGGGCTGGTCTCGGTCTCGAAACTTCAGGTCTCGGTCTCGGACTATCCGGTCTTGACTACAACACTGGTAACGAAACACTCAAAAAGATTGCTGATGTGGAGACTGAAGTCACCCAGCTCTGGTAAGTCTTCCACTATTCACCCAAAAAACTAGCAGTATATCTGAAAGTACAACAAGAACTCAAGACAGTCAGTATGGGTTCTCGGGCAAAGAGGAGGATCTCTAGGAAACTGAAAAAGGTTTGCCAAACACGATGGTTGTCTTTCAAAAATGTTGTAGCTGCTGTACGTGCAGAGCTTCCTGCTATCTTACAAACACTCAGACAACTGAAAACAGATCCGGCTTGTTACGGCCTTCTGAAAAAATTGTCTAAACCCAAGAAGATAGGCATCATTTACATCCTGAATGACATCTTACCAATACTTGGTATCCTGAGTAAAACCTTCCAGAAAGGCACCATTGCCTTCTCCCGCATCAAGCCTACAATCCAGGTTTGCACTGACCAGCTGTCCAGCCTGGTTAACACAAAAAGTCCCATTGAGAAATTCAAGCATGATATTGAAGTGGATTCCTTGACTAGAACAGAAATAGGGTTCACAGAAGATGACATCGTGTATCTAGAGACCTGTTACAGGACTATGTATGTTCACTCATCAGGAACATTAACATCAGGTTAAAAGCGGCAACACCAGTACACACTGCCATGCAGGTATTTGACATGACAACAATCCCAGCCAGAGATCATGCAGACTTCAAGGAACAGCATGTGGTGGTGTTGGCCGATCACTTCTTTCTAGATGACGAGGCCAGTCACAATCAGCTACAAGCTGAGTGGAACGTAGTCAAGTATGACCTGAAGACTTGCGAAATACCTGTATCTGTGAAGGATGGTATGATCTCTCCACCTGAATGGGTAATGCAGCATCTTCGTAGGCAAAAGTTTTCTCTCAGGGGGTCATTTCCATTGTTGATTGGTGTAGTTGAAGCCCTGCTTGTTATCCCAGTGTCAAATGCATGGCCAGAACGAGGTGCATCAAGGATGAAAATAATCAAAACTAGACTGAGGAGTGTCATGAAGGAAGATACATGTATGCTCAATGCTTTTATGCATACATGTATGTCTCAATGGCCCACCTTCAACATCACAAGCCTGCAGCAACTTCATAAAAAAATGTGTGAAGTTGTGGCTTGAGAAGAAAGACGGAAAGAAACTCCCCAATCCCTCAACAAGTGCTAGCCACTTTCCACATTATCAACAGGCTGCTTCCCAAAAGCCAGATCTGCCAAAACACAGGAAACACGGAGTACCCAAACTTACATCATTTTGGCAACAGACGAAAGAACAAAGGAAGAAATTAACATTGCAGCCCATCTGCTTGGACTTCCCATGGATGATGTTGAGCCAAGTTCATCCACCTCATCTGATTCAGACTAAAACCGTAGTAGGTGTGATTTGATTTCTAAATAATAGTTTGAGACAACAAGGTTACATCAGATAATGTAAACAAATACAAATAGACATATATTGTATTTCAGTTCTGAAACCTTATTTGCTTGCTTACAATATAAAATATTCAACATGATCATCGAGATTAAATCCAAATTACAATGTATATAAATAACTATTGTAACAAATTTACATTGGTGCACTACGAGGTTGCTTTTTTAAGACATCGCCCACACAGTGTATTATTGGACATCGTTTGACAAATTGTTTTTAATTTTGAAAGCAGGAATTTGGAACAGATTAAATTTCTGTTCAAAATAATATGATTTTAGAGTGTCAAATTTATTTGGTTTTGAATTTTCAAAAAAAATCAACAGAAATGTCTTTAAGTAGGACCTTTGAAACCCTAATCTCAGATGCCAGGAAATGCCTAGACTGCACCAGAGAGCATCTACAATCCTAAATTGGCGGGCCCCGGACCTCACGCCATTAATGGCTGGGACTCACTGCCGCTTACTTTCATCCATCTGCCTGCTACTCTAAAACATTTTGAAACCCCTGAGAGCGCTGTGTTTGTATTCATCCTTTGAGGAAGACATCAACGATGACGATGGTGTCAATAGAAATGGAATCTAGCGGCGCCAGGACTGTTGAACCGTACAGATTTGAGCCAGAGTGCGTCCCGACGCATTGGACCAAGCTCAAGATGGCATCCCCAGCCCGGTCATAATGGTGCCGAGAACGTCAACAGGTGACGAGAAAAACATCAATGGGAGTTATTTTTGAATAATCTAAAATGATGGATCATCTTCGCTGGACAGATGATTAGGTTTACAAAGATGTTGTCCCTTGAGGAATTGGTAAAAGTTTTGTAAGCTTGATAATACCAAGACAAAATTAATAAGCACATCGTGTTTTTTTTGTTGCAGTGACAACAGCTGAGCTGGGCTAAAGGCTCTGCAGCCAGACTATTTTGCTCTTTCACTGTTCACATGGAGACTTGGCGACTTCAACTTTTACCCCGACTTTCGTGAAGTACTGTGGTCAAACCTTTTTGCTGGTGAGCTTCAAACCCTTTGAGTTAATTATTTGAACTACAAATTTCATACAAGTGGTCCGCGGACCGCATGTGTCGCCTTTTACGGCGGTCAATCCCTTTATGTTTTGTGTTCTTACAAAAAGTCAAATTTTGTTCCTTTTTAAACAACGACCTCAAATGACCTCTACACAACCTTTGACCTCAGCAATCTGACAAAGAATAGTGTCTTCCCACCCAAGGGTCACTGCATCCAAGTTTCATCAAAATCCGTGAAAGTATGTAAAAGCTATGCATTTTGAGCATATTTGAACAATGACCTCTAATGACCCCTACAAAAACAAAATACATGCCCTTTGATATCAGTAATCTGATGAAGAATTGTGTCTTCCCACCCAAGGGTCACTGCATCCAAGTTTCATCAAAATCCGTGAAAGTATGTAAAAGCTATGCATTTTGAGCATATTTGAACAATGACCTCTAATGACCCCTACAAAAACAAAATACATGCCCTTTGATATCAGTAATCTGATGAAGAATTGTGTCTTCCCACCCAAGGGTCACTGCATCCAAGTTTCATCAAAATCCGTGAAAGTATGTAAAAGCTATGCATTTTGAGCATATTTGAACAATGACCTCTAATGACCCCTACAAAAACAAAATACATGCCCTTTGATATCAGTAATCTGATGAAGAATTGTGTCTTCCCACCCAAGGGTCACTGCATCCAAGTTTCATCAAAATCCGTGAAAGTATGTAAAAGCTATGCATTTTGAGCATATTTGAACAATGACCTCTAATGACCCCTACAAAAACAAAATACATGCCCTTTGATATCAGTAATCTGATGAAGAATTGTGTCTTCCCACCCAAGGGTCACTGCATCCAAGTTTCATCAAAATCCGTGAAAGTATGTAAAAGCTATGCATTTTGAGCATATTTGAACAATGACCTCTAATGACCCCTACAAAAACAAAATACATGCCCTTTGATATCAGTAATCTGATGAAGAATTGTGTCTTCCCACCCAAGGGTCACTGCATCCATGTTTCATCAAAATCCATGAAAGCATGTAGAAGTAGAAGCATGTAGAATCCAGAGAACTGAGCTCATAATAGGCAATTTAGACATTTAGAGAAAAAAATGTGTTTCACGTAGCGCATGCTATTAGCGGAAATGTCACGGTGGGCGGGCCGCAAAGTACTGAGGGAAAATAAATCTTAGCAAAGGGTTAGCACCCTCAAGGGAAAAGTCTTTATGTAGTTATGCTTTACAGGTAAGATGAGTGCAGTAGAGTAAAAGAACTAAATGTAAAGTTTTATGAAAAACTACTATGACCAATGCATTTTTGTCTTGCTTTCCATTTTACTATCCATGGTGAGATTGACATCTTCACCTCATCAAGCTTAACACTAACCCCCACCGGGTATTCCTCAGGTACCCTGCTAAAGGCAACAACATCCAACTCAACTCAAATGAGAACCCTGCTAAATGCAACAAACTGCAACAGTGGATTCTTTTGCATAGTGCATTGAACCCAGTGCATACCGGCCTTGGCACCAAGCAGTTAGCCTGCTAAATGCAACCAAATGCAACAGTGGAGTCTGTTGTATCGCCTTGGCACTATGAGCAGTTACCCTGCTAAATGCAACAAGATGCAACAAAGCAGGGGGATTTGAGTGGCCTGCTAAATGCAACAGTGTGCAACAACATTTTACCTTTGTTGTTTTCTGTTGCATTAAGCAGGGTTAATGCACCTGTAAAAGTCTCCAATGCATTTTCTGATATAATCTTCATGTACATATGTTTTCAATCCTCACATATAAAGCCAAACTTTTTCAAACAAAAAGAAGTCCCATACCCTGACATCTTACCTCTAACATACAAAAGAGCCGTCTTGGAGAAGCGAATACCTGCAGAATTCCTAGCAGCACACTGATACTTCCCACGATCAGAAAACTCTGACACACTTATTGACAAGCCAGCTAATTCAAATGAAAAGAAATATGCAAATTATTAATACAAACAACACTACGCAAGCTGTTGTGTCTTGGTTTTACACAATGTTCTGAGAGCTGATGTCAAAGTAACACAATTTTGACAAACTTAATAAAGCCTTCAGACTGGGGAGGGTTACACTGTTCCATTTATTCAGTGTAGCTGAACTTGAAATAGTTCATCTTACATGTATCAGCTTTGAAGAATTACATCATTAGCCCTCCCATGCAAACATACATTCTGTGCCAAGTTACATGTATCCTTTCAGTCAAAATCAAGTGACTGTTTTCAACAGTTAAGAGCTCCCAGCCTACATAAAGCAGGATTGACTGGCAGTGACTATTCATGTAACGTGATACAGCTATGCTTTGACTGTAGGTGATTGATAAGACAGCTGTGCCAACAGTTTCCTGCTTTTGTCTTAAAATACAATCTGACTGTCTGTTTGGTTGTGACTAGCCTGTGTAAAAGGCATGGCAAGGGAAGTGGGTTGGAATTTTAACTATCTGTGACTGTTTAAACAGTACATGTAGGAGGGTTAGTCCAAGTCACTTAAGCTTTCACTTAAAGTATCAACATAATGTGCATGCACTGCAGACGTCTCACCCTCAAAATTCCAACCAAACTTGCTCAATTATTGGCTGCATCAATACATGGTTGAGTGTAGAATAAAAAGTACAAATTTAATTTGATTCTTAAAAAAATAATAATAATTTGAATGATTTTTTGCTCAAATGTCTTTGAAGTTTGTGATCTGATGATAAAATACTCCAGAAGCAAGCAGTTACCAACCTATAAGAGAAAGGGAACACAATAACTCCATGAAACATCAGACATTATACATGTATAATCAGTATTTTTTAACATGTCTACCTGGGGTACATGCATCATGTAATGGTGCAGAAACTTGGCATGCCAGTTAGTGATTCGTATAATCTTACTCAAATGACTCAATTCATGCATTTGAGTGTTAAGATGATAGAACTTTACAAGACTGTCAACGTTTGTATATTTTTAGCGAAGTGGGCGAGGCAAAGCCACTGTGGTCATTAACATCTAAAATAATGGGTTTCCTCATTCGCAAAATACATACATGCCTTTATATTTAGTTGTAGCAATAAAGGTCTGATGAGACAATTTGTTTTGAGGCAGAAATGTTCCCTGCATTCGATTTTGTCTACAATCACCCACCAATACTCCTTTGACATGTTTGAGTACAAAACTGTTTAAACTGACTGCAGTGTGTGATTATGTGGACAAAAGAGCTTCTATTCCAATATCCAATGGTTTGTTCAAGCACAAAAGTTCAAGTGTAAAGCCAAATGTAATATTGTAACTTCTGTAACTGCTAGATCAACACCTTTCATCTGCCACACTTGTACATGAGTCCTAAAACCTTGAGTTCCAAATCAAAAATACAAGTCCCAGTCATTTATTTAAAAAAATGCAAGGAAAAGAAACCTGCCTCTTATCAATGAACAGGCAAAATAAAGAAAACAATTACAGTCATGTACAGTGTAGATTGACAAATAATTCTGATACTTCACAACAAAACATAAAAAGGTAACGGTGCGTACATTCAACCGGATAAGGAATTCAACAGAACATAGCATTGGTTACAAACAGTTTTTGTTCATCAAGTGGTTGCTCACAGTGAACCATCAGACCAGAGAATGAAATAATCCATCACCAATCACTTTTAGTCTTTTATTCCTACAGTATGATAAACATGTACCACCAGAACATGATATGAACTCGAATTTTAAAATGGGCACCTGTTTTCACAGGGCTTTTACACGTAGAGAGTGATGTACATGTAGTGGCGCAAGGCATGTACTGATTTGCAATGGTTATGGTTTCAATTATATAACTACTATTTTGCAAGAAAAAAATCTTCCATTTTTAATATAGTTTTCCAGGCCAATTTCTGAATTTTTCTGATCATTTTCATTAACCCTAACCCTCCACAGTATATTGGCTAGAAACCCTGCCAAACACAGCAGCATGCAACACTTGTCTAACTCTAAGTGACAAGCCTGCACAGTGCAGCAAAATCCATCAGGTCAATAGTCTCAAGGCCAAACTACCTCAGAGTCTGTGGTCACTGAATGCAGCAGGATACAACTGTGGCATTGTTCAATGGGATTAGCTCTCATTGTTTCAGAACTGGCCGTTTATGCACTGGTGTTGATAGCTGAATGCATCAAAGTGCACCAGACTTTTCCACCTGATGCACTGTGCTGCGTCTGGCAGGGTTAGGGTTAAAGGCCATTCAATTTCATTTTTTGGGGACATTCAATTTCGTGGAGTTGTATTCTATTCCGTTTTGGTGCATTCCACATTTAATTTGTAGCATTCTTACATATACAATAAGTTTTTGGCATCTTTTGACGGTTGACACATTGATATTTGCGAAGGTCGGTGCTCATATGATGTACATGTATGACAATGCTTTTCTTCTCTTATTCGTTTATGGGCAATCATTTTCATTGTTTGGTCATTCAAATTAATACGATTTTTTCCTATTTCCTTCTGAGGTTTATTTTTTTCAAAATCATTGCTTCTGTGACATTTATAATGTAACAATTAACTGATATGAGGGATAGCTGATGTAACAAAAAAATGAAATGAAAAGGGCTAAAGAATTTTCTTTTTCATTGTTGATCTTCTCTACTTGTTTAAATGTTTTTAAAAATCTACAAGGGGCATCTGTATGTTGACATGCTTATTAACCCTCTAACTTTGTTGACTGGGGGGGGGGCAGAGTGGCAGATTACAACTGGCAAGACATTTTGAAAGCGAAATCGGGCTGCTGATAAAGGAGCGCAATCGGCCTGTCAGAAAAACCATGTGTGCATCGGGAAATTCGCAGGGATGAAGAGTGATAGTGTCCATGATTGTTCACTTTTAACGGTGCCCCCTATCAGAAGATGCGACAAACCACAATACCCCCCCCCCCCTCCTGACTTTTCAAGGAAAATGGAAATGCAGGAATGTCTTAAAAGATGCTTGAAAAAATATGAAAAATGTTTGCCCATTAATGAAAATGAATGCCCAATCAACATGTTTACACAGACGAGTGAAGCTGAAAGACGATAGAATACTCGGATAATGAAATGGATGATTCCTTTTTGAATGTCGAATGACAATCTGCGTGATCTTTCAATTTCAATTTAAACTGAACGAGCCAGGTGAAATCTTTGTGAAATTGGCTGGAAAAACCCAAAACAGTTGCGGTACAGAATTGGCGAACTTTTCGCAAAGAATTTTCCGTATTTTTTTTTCATGCGGATGCTGTCCTGTTCAAAAATCAAATTTCTGATCTTGTCTTTAGAACTTGTTCCCAAGAAAGTACCCCCCTTTATTACCACAAATGGTGTGGTCCACAAGTGCGCATGGTGCGCATGGTGCATGCATGCATCAATGTGACGGTACAGACACCAACGAAGACAGCTTTCACTCACGCATGGCCGGCCGCCGGCGGCCGTCCGCACTTTTGGTACATGTACGTACCACGCACTCGGTAGTATTTTTTTGGATGCCAACTTATACAGAGGAATTGTTGTGGTTTTGAGGAAATGGGACCGAAAAAACACGCCGACTTAGGCGAAGCAGCGACTTACAAAGGCCGACTTAGAAATGAATTTCAATGGAACTGCATTAGAGACGACCGGGACTTTCGTCAGACGGCCGATTTAAGCAATATGACGAATTACACGATGTCGACTTGGCTGGAGTTTACTGTATTCTTAAAAGTATCAATGCATTCTAAACAATTGCTCAACATAATAGTTGTCTTAGAGAGTTTCAATACTTGAGAAAGTTTGTAATCATTTGAATGTACTTCGAAAAAAATAGCAAAAATGTATTATTCGGACGTAGCATGGACACCGTGCCATTGTTACATCCAAAAAAAATTTGCCATTTTTTACACATATATGTAAAATATTACCAAAACTGACATTGCATATATAACAGGACACCTAATGCTCCAAGAAAAGCTTTTGTTTTGGTATAGTCAGAGTTCAAATGTAACAGAAACGAAAGCTTAATGTTGACGTAACGGTGTCCAAATCACCCAATGGAAGTGTGACATTTGGGGTTGGACACGGTGTCCATGTTACATCCACAACCAAGGTATCATTTCTACTCCATTTGATACCTGACTACCACAACAAAAGCTTTTCTTAGTGTGTTGCATGTAGTGTAATAAGTACATAAAGTGAATTTGGGTAAAGTTTTACAGCAATTTAAAAAAAATTGGTACAAATAAAATTTTTGAATGTAACATTGACACAGTGTCAATGTTACGTCTGAATGACATTTTTGCTCATATTTTTGGCAAAATACACTGAAATGATTTGAAACTTTCTGCACCAGTGGAACACCCAACACCCAATATTATTTAGAGCAACTGCAAGCAAGGCATTCATACTTTTCACAATATGGTCATATGTCACACATTGTGTCCCACCCCGGTGAATGACCCAATATATTGTTCCCTTAACATGCTGCAAATGACACTGCACTGTGCGACATTACTTGAGGCTGTACAGTGCACCATGAAAATCGCATTCCCCCCACAGTGTGCTAAAGTCCAAATTCAATCATTAAAACTATGTTGTTTTATGAAAGCTAAATTTTGTGAATACATGAATGTCGAGATTAAAATGTTCTACATGCATGCCAAATTTCATTTAACTTGGGCAGGACCCAACACCTCCCCCCTTCCCCCTCCGGCCCTCCCCCCCCCCCCCCCCCAGCAATGAGATGGTCCTGAAAAGGTGGAAACTACCATGAAAACATAATGCACATGCATTGCACTGGACTCATATGAGTATCCATCTGAAATCTTTCCAGCCGAGTCCCTAGACACATTGAAACCCACCATACATGGAAGATAGTATAATAAACTTAGTACACAGCGTCGCGCTAGTAATACTGGTGTTGACGACTGTCTACTCATTTGTCCTAAAGTGTAACATTA